CATGTCCAGTCCAGCACTTCATAACACTCTTTTGTTCATAACTTCATACAACCATATCATTCACGATGACTGTGCCAACGAAAACTCAATATTCCATTCTTGTCATCAACCCCAACACTTCAACGCACATGACCAATGCTTTGATACCCATACTGGATAATCTCGGGCATGGAGGCATACAATTCGACTACTTCACAGCTCCAGCATCCGAATCAGTCACGCTCCCCGATGGAAGAGTGGTAGAAGGAGTGCCCAGTATCGATTCTGGTGACGATTCTGTCAAGTCGGCTTTTTATTGCATGCCCTTCCTAGAGCAACTGGTGTCCGAGTATGATGGCTTCATTGTCGCCTGCTTCTCAGCTCATCCCCTCGTCGGTATGCTCAAAGAAAAAGTCCGGTCGATCGAAGACGCAGAGTCATCGGGAGTTCCCTCGGAACTGAAGGTCAAGAAAAAGTACGTGACGGGTATCTTTGAAGCGGCAGTTCTTGCTGCTCTCGGCGTGATTAGTTCATTCCAAGCCACTCCGGGCCCAGATTGGGGCAAGGCCCAATCTCGAGATACGTTCGGCATAATTTCGACCGGTAAAGTCTGGGAGACTGAACTCAGCAAAGCGGTCGCTGACATGCTCGGTAACTCGGGAGATTCCACATCCACTGGTCGGTTTGCTGGGGTTGAAACGACTGGACTGACGGCCGTCGAACTACACACCACCCCTCCCCAAGAAGTGAGAAGGAGACTGGTCGAAGCGACAGAACGGCTTTTGAAGAAGGCAGCCCATCCTGTTGGTGCGATATGCATGGGCTGTGCCGGCATGGTGGGCATGGAAGACGCAATAAGAGAGGGATGTGTCAGAACATACGGACGACAAAAAGGCAGTCAAGTCAGAATAGTCGACGGCGTTATTGCTGGGGCGGGGATGCTTGCGACGGCTTGCAAAGCCGGTTTCTAGGGGCCTATCTGCAGTCATTACACCATCTCTTATGTTAGAGACGTTGTAAAACTGAGTGAGACTATGTATTATGATGAGCTGCGGTCAATGCACCCAGCTACGAAGAACGAGCTGCAGCTGTCTGTATTTTTATGAAGAGAGAGTGTGTCTATTATGTCGCTTTAGCTAGTACTCCATGATGCCAATAGTTTCCATGAAACCCAGTGTTATGTGTTACTAAGTCATTTTTTTTTTATACAAATGCGACATGTAACTTCGCTATCTCAACTCGCAGCAAATCAGGAAGTCTCCACCGTTGATTTACCAATGAGTATGAAGCCCAATCAAGCAGCTCCGCGAAGCCATAGTCTTTTTGTTTCTGTTTCTCTTTTGGGGCGCGGAAGGTTTTAAGGCAATCGACAAGGGACTGTTTCGGCCTGAGGCCTCCACACACCTAATCGAGACCTGAACTTCCCCGCGGAACGCGCTACGCGTAGACTATAATCCACGATCACTTGCGGTGATCAAGGAACAAGATGCCCAGGTGGGTTCGACTCTCACAGCTTTTCTACAATATGTTTAGAAACATGTGACTGTATTAGCAAAATCTGATTTCCATATTTAGGGAAATCATAACGATCCAAGCCGGCCAGTGCGGTAACAATGGTATGGATCCCCACGAGAAGCAGCTTCCACTATAGCTCTCGACAAACATCGTCTAGCATATTCTGAGACATCGCTAACTTGTATCTGCGTCAGTCGGCGCTCAATTCTGGCAGCAGCTCTGTCTTGAGCACGGCATAAGCCAGGATGGAAACCTGGAGGATTTCGCGACCGAGGGCGGCGATCGTAAAGACGTCTTCTTCTATCAGGTATACCTGCCACTCTCATTGTGCTTCGATAGCCCAGAGAGCTAATCAAACATGATCAATAGAGTGATGATACCCGCTATATTCCTCGAGCGATCCTGCTCGATTTAGAACCCAGGGTACGACCCCTTCCGCGAAAGAACATCTCGAAGAAACCAATGTGATCGCGCGAACGGTGAGCTGAGAATTTTCCCGATTAGGTCCTCAATGCCATCCAGGCTGGTCCGTACCGAAACATCTACAATCCGGAGAACTTCTTTATCGGACAACAGGGTATTGGCGCAGGAAACAACTGGGGAGCGGGCTATTCCGCAGGCGAGGTCGTGCAAGAAGAGATCTTTGACATGATTGATCGAGAAGCGGATGGCAGTGACTCTTTGGAGGTATGATACCGGTGCTATCATGATACATATATGACGTGCAAGATTGGATTTGTGATTGAGCTTGGTGCTAATGGTTACTTTGGCAGGGATTCATGTTCCTGCATTCAATTGCAGGCGGTACGGGTTCAGGGCTGGGCAGTTTCATACTGGAACGCATGAATGATCGGTTCCCCAAGAAGTTGATACAGACTTACTCTGTCTTTCCCGATACGCAGTCTGCGGACGTCGTGGTCAACCCATACAACAGTTTGCTTGCAATGAGGAGGTTGACGCAGAATGCGGACTCTGTGGTAAGACACTGTTATCGATGAATTGATGACGGACTTGACTAAATCTGCGTTCTAGGTGGTATTGGATAACGGTGCTCTTTCAAGAATTGTCGCGGATAGGCTCCACGTACAAGAGCCTTCTTTCCAGCAAACGAACCAGCTTGTAAGTAACCGCCCATCTGCAAATCTACTGGCACTCATCACTCCTAGGTGTCTACCGTTATGTCTGCTTCTACGACGACCCTCCGATACCCTGGCTATATGCACAATGATCTCGTGGGAATCATCGCTTCCCTCATCCCTACACCGCGCAGCCATTTCCTGATCACCTCATACACCCCGTTCACCGGCGACAACATCGAACAGGCCAAGACAGTGCGTAAGACCACTGTTTTGGATGTCATGCGTCGTCTGCTGCAGCCGAAGAACCGCATGGTCTCCATCAACCCCAGCAAGTCCAGCTGCTACATCAGTATACTCAACATAATCCAGGGAGAAGCAGACCCGACGGATGTGCACAAATCACTCCTTCGTATTCGGGAGCGACGCCTGGCATCCTTCATTCCCTGGGGACCAGCGAGCATCCAAGTCGCATTGACCAAGAAGTCACCCTACATGCAGAACACCCACCGCGTTAGCGGTCTGATGCTGGCGAACCATACCTCGGTGGCGACACTGTTCAAACGTATCGTGCAACAATATGACCGTCTGCGGAAGCGAAACGCTTTCTTAGAGCAATATAAGAAAGAGAGCCCCTTCTCGGACGGCCTGGGCGAGTTCGACGAAGCCAGAGCAGTGGTCATGGATCTCGTCGGCGAGTATGAAGCTGCGGAGAAGGAAGATTACCTGGATCCAGAAGCAGGAAAGGAGAAGGAGATGGGGGTGTGAGTGTCAGTGTAAGTGTGATTGTGCTGGCCTAATCTAATGTCCCACTTGCGTTAATCCTCATACCTCCTCATTTCTTTCATTCCCATCATGACTTACAAGGGTTGACCGGTGTCAAGTGGCAAGGGCGTTCTCTTTGATTTTGTGTTGCAACAGAATACCTTCTCTTTCAAATTGCTATGACTTGGGCGCGTTATTGATGAAACAAACAAGAAAATAAAAATTGCTGAATGGTTTGCACCGCGTAAATCGACGTGCCCGTCTTCGGTACACCGCACAATTGTGTAACAATCCCTATCAGCCAAAACCGATGAAACACCCAGGCAGCCAGACCAACGGTCAGATCACTGATCAACAGACCCAATGTGTATTATTTGGGCGATAGTGAGGCAGGGTGGGGTGAAGTAAGATCTGACTACTTAGTACAGGGCATAGCAGGTTCGTGCCCAAGGTGAAGATGGGTGTAAGAGTGGTAGGTAAGTGGGCCTTTATAGCCTCAGGTCTAAACTGAGGAGAGAGTCAGGCCACCATTTGTACTTCTGTTTCTTACTGGTGACGAGAGTTGACGAAGTAATCAATTAGGAAAGTAGGGGCAAATAGTAGTGGCTAGTTAATGAAGCAGAGTTCCTATCATTCTCATCTTCTTGGGAGGGTAAGGGAGGGGGGCCGGGGAATCTTGTATGCAAACAAATGCACAAGCGGTGTTATGGTTGGACAATGAACTACTTGGATATGTCCATGCCATAAACAAAGGAAAGAAAACAAGGGGAGAGAGAGGGAGAGAGGGAGAGAGAGAAAGATATACTGAGCAGGCTGGCAGCTACTACTACTAAGACATATGATTATAGATTTTCTGGATATCAATGTATATATAGTAATATTGATACAATTGATAAAGTCCTAGTGAAATAGTACAGGTTACCCTTAGTTTTTATTTTTATTGTTATAATCTCTTATCTCTCTATATAATTTCATAATCTATTCTATAGAGCTGTCATAGATAAACCCGATGGCACAGGCGTGAAAAGAGCAACTTAGGCCTTGAAATGGGCTCTTTCAGATCATTAAAATTCATTCCATACCTCCACTGTTAATCGCACTGTCACTGAAATGGAGTATGCCGTGGCTTTGTCGCACCCAGAGCCGGCAGTTCTGCCCTCACGTGCGTCTTCATGTTTCAAGTGGCTACCGACCTAGTCACTAAAGCCTCAAGTCAAATACCTCTTGCGTCGAGGAGTTCGGCTTCGATAACGCCTTGGCATGGCCCTCTGGTAACCAGAAGTTCCTGATCACTAGTCCGACAGATTGCAAAAGCTCTGTCCATTGCCGGCGAGTCCGTTCAATTCCCGGACACCAAACCATGACCGTCATATCAAGTAATGTCTCTCGGGCACCGGCATTTTGGTCAGGAACAATATAATCTTCAAGAAGAAGCTTAGAGTAGCCCTTCTCCATAGCACTAGTAATGTGGTTTAAAATGCGCCTGCAATTCTCATCTGACCAATCATGCATGATGTCCTTGAGGTAGTATGCGCGAGCACCTAGTAAAAGGTCAGACGATAAGGAAAGAAGGAACCGGGGAAGGTCGACCAGCCTTTGATGGGTTGGGGTGTAAAGAAATCATGTTTGATTCTTCGTATATCCTTGCTGAGGTCTTGAATATCTTCAATGACGGGTGTTTGCACGCGTTCCCTCCATGAAGGTATTGAAGCGCTGTAGCGCTACTGGGTTTTCCCGGAACCAGTCCCAGCAGGTGCCAGATGACTTGTAGGCGTATTGAAGTGGCGTATTGTAGGGATCTTCTGGGTTTTTATACCCGGTCTTTCTGAGAAATTCCGTCTTGTGGAAACGGGAAGAGAGTCAATGAACCTAGAAGGGGCGCGCAATAGGTGGCGAGAAAGACATCGCAGTATGTTGTATTTGGATGATTAAGAAGGTACGCACATTGAGCCCGCCATGTCGATTGTTGTTCTCTCCGTCATTTGCGTCGACCACGCGGTGGGCGCATAATGGTTTAAGCCTCGCTTTTTGGCGAAACCGTTGCAGACAAGGACACGCATAATTCGCTCTATGCATAGGGTATCAGCATTCACGATAGGACGAATATCTCTTTTGAATGAAGGTGATATATACCAACAAGCTGGAAATCTGCGTTTTCGGCAGCTGGCTTCTCCAGGCTTCTCACAAGCCTGGTGGCATGTTCAAGAGCCTGCTGCCGGTACTCTTCCAACCCAGTTTCCTGGTATAACTTGGCGGAGGCCGATGTTCTCGTCAGATCCGTGGATATATCCTCCAAACCTCGAGTCATGGTGTTGGTGAAAGTGGGTTTTCCGGATGTCCAGCAAAGTGAACTTATATGCAGATTGTAGAGGCCGACAAGAAAAGCTGTATACCTAGGGCAATATTGGCAATCAAAGTGGTGCAGAGAGGATACACAGAGTCTCTTCGTCGGCGATCGTTCCTGGCGAATAGCAATCTGAGCTGGACATGTGTGCATAGTAAGTACCTCTGATCAGAACAGATTAGTGGCGACTCACAGCCAGCGTTTGACACATATCCATTGTCTGGTGTTATTAACTACGTAATTGATTAGTTACACATTCAGGGACGAAGCTGCTGTGTTGACCGCCGAGTGTTCGTGTATGGGGTTAAGGGCGTATTCTGGTACCTACAGTTGGAAAACCAATTACTTTCAATTAGTTGGGGATATAAACAATGACACCGTTGAAACATTTATGGCGTAGAAGTCTACTGAGGTGAAATCTGGGCGAAATGTTCTGGGTACCGATGTAGGGTTGGAAGACAATGGTAACATGTGAGTTGTTGATCGCCGATAAGCGAAGCCTTGCATCTTGGCCAAGACGGCTAGATAAAAGAAGTTCGCCTGGAGTATAATAAGCGTATGCAACAGAGATTAAGGATGCAACTTCTTCGGCATTATCCTTATCGCATGCGCCTTTCCCTCCAGATGTATCTATATCCTCTTTTGTGGCAACATGTCTTGCGAAGGCCCCACACTAATAACACGACGACTATTTGAGCTGACCGCCATCACAGGCCCTTCAGTGTATATGCGAGGCGCCACACCTCAATGATGCAGATCTGTACACCGACTGTATAATGAGGTCATCAATTTCATCCCTCGCCTGAAATCCGTAAGCCAGGGGCCGTCTCTAGAGGCGAGCTGCAGGGCTCCCACGCACTGCTCCTCTCCAAGGATGGTTACTCTGTGAATTGGGGAACACTGGATACTGGATGAGAAGAAAGTGGGTTCCATTGTCGGAAATGATGAAAATTGAAACACGCAAACCCTTTGTCCTGTTAAGTGGAGATCTCTCCAACAGCGTTCCAGGCCTGTTGAGACACTAGATGGACAGTAGTCGACGGTCGCACCAAAGCAGACATAAGCGTGTGATAGAATTGCTACACTCCTTGCGATTCTTGAAATAGACATCCCACAATGGTAGTCTCCAGCCAGGCACGATCTCTCTCCTGACTCCTCACAATGAGATCCCTTGCGAAGAGAATGATTTGTTCCTCCTGTTCCACCGTCATTCCAATTCCTATGGCGAATGTCCATACAATAATCATGATCCCTACATAGCAAGCTGTGTGGAAGATTTCCTCCTCATGCAGTACCGGATATCCTCGTATAATATGCTGGAGGAGGGTGCGGCCCATCTTCACACCTTTCACAATCTCTAGGATGTAGAGGTCACCCATGATTTGTGTGAGGTCTTGATCACGACGGCCATAGTGGGATGATTCAAAGTCAATGGGGCTGACAGTCACATATCCCCTATCTTGCGATGCATCTGAAATAAGGAGGCTGTAGGGCGTTGTTAACAGGCTAAGCAAAGACACCATTGCGAGATAACCAAGAAAAGGAGTGAGTTTCATACTTTCTAACCGAGAAATCCCCGTGCACCAATGACATCCCACAGTCTTCATCACGTCGCTCGATCTCTTCAACCGCATACTTCCTCACTTGGTCTGCAACGCCATCAAAAAGGTGGGGGGCAGTTCTGATCTTTTCCTCCAGCCTGCCCAAGTAGAATCTATACATAGTGTCCCGGCCTACTGGGTTCTCGTGCAGGTCAAATTTGCCGCCCCCACGCTTCGATGTCGAGCAGTGAAGGGAACCTAGCCAGCTGCCAATCGCATAGCCCAGGGACGCGGCAAGATTAGGGGACATATTACATCCAGCGGCGGAAATGATGTCCACGAGAGGGGTTGTACCCTGCAAGTCCTCCATGATCTGCACATTCTGCTCGAAGAAGTGATATGGACAGGGTGTCTTCACAATAACGCCTTCGTAATGTTTTGGCGCGACGAGTCCTCGCGCCAAGGCTTCCAAAACTCCATATTCGACTTTCTACAGATCGTGAGAATCCGTGTCAGCGGGCGAATCACATCACTCAGTTCTAATTGTAACGCGAGCCACTTACACATCGACTGGCTAGGCACGTAACACCAGGGACGAAAGTCACATAGTCCTTCGAATGCTTGATAATAACACTCTTGCTCCCGTCGGCGAGCGGGTGAGCAAGTAGACCACGGTAGGTGAGGTTCAGATGACCACCACTCAATTGCTCAATATTGGAACATTCATAAGGTGTAGACGACAGGATGTTGCGGATGGGGGTGATATTGTCAACGTGCCGTTCCATCTCAGCCGTCGTGACTTGTGGAAGCGGAACCGGGGAGGCCCCATTTGCATGTATCATCGTGGTGCTCGATGGGAGAGAGATCTGTGATGTTGGGATTAAGGTGGTACTTGGTACTCTTCTGGGTAGCTGAGCTTGCGAAAGGCTTTGATCTCCTCGGTAATGTCGTGGTTTATGAACCATGGAGTACGAGCTAACGGGTGCATAATGCACGATCAAATCCTGCAGCTAGGGTAAGAAAATTACCAATCCAAGAAATGATGCCCTAGCCGCATGGCTAGTTGAGTTCAGTACTCCGTACTCGTGACCACTTTCCCTCTGGGATCAAACACTCTGGATATGTACTATACTGCCCGAGATGTGCTTTGCAAGGGGTTCCCTCAAGGGATAAGGCAGCTAGGTAAATGTCTTCCCGAGTGTGGTGCATGCCGAAGACGCGCGCCACAACGTAGTGAATCTGCCCCTTGCATTTTAGGGGTGATAGGCTCATTCAAGGCGGAGAAGCACTACTTACTTACTTCATAGTTGTACTTTCTCCCTGTTGCACTCTCCAAATCCGAATCTCCTGGATGGGCAATGAGCTGCACCATGCCCTACTTCAGCTCTTGGCCTCGAGAAGGTTTCTAGGCAGCCGTGTCATCATTCGCTCAATGTTTTATTGAAGTTACATGCACATTTGTCCCTCACCGTATTCAGCAATATATCTACAAAATTTCATGCGGAACGTGATATCATCCAATGAAAGCCACGAAAATTCAATCGTCCCCCCCAGCAGCAATTCTGCGGCGCCTTCTTCGGCCAGGTTCTGACATCCATATTGTGACGCCCGGTACGTTTACTTTGAGCGACATCTGCTTCTACTATCACTGAGCCCGATGCCGACCATGAACGGTACTATTCAAGAGAACGACCATCGAAACCATGATACGAACGAGAGCCGATGCAATGAAGGAACCATCATGAACGACAGCCAGGGAGAAAGCCGCCCCGCGGATACACCATATAGTCACTTCACGAAGTACGAGAGGGTATTCATCATCGCTATGGCCGCGCTTGCTTCTCTCATGTCCCCGATTTCGAGTCAGATATATTATCCAGCACTTCCCGTACTTGCTGATCACTATCAAGTATCCGATACATTGATCAACCTCTCCGTTACTGTTTATATGATCATTCAAGGGCTAGCACCGTCATTCATGAGTAGCTTTGCTGATACCAGTGGACGCCGACCAGTTTATATCACCTGTTTCCTCATTTACGCTGCGGCTAATGTCGGGCTGGCACTCCAAGACTCCTACCCAGCGCTAATGGTACTCCGCTGTATCCAGAGTGCAGGTAGTAGTGCAACAACCTCGCTTGGCTACGGAGTCGCAGCAGACATTGCACGTCCATCCCAAAGGGGTAAATATATGGGCCTGATAACTACGGGCTTGATGACAGCTCTCTCACTGGGCCCCATCCTTGGAGGCATCCTCGTTCAATGGCTTGGTTGGAGAAGCATCTTCTGGTTCTTGCTTATCCTAAGTGGGAGCTACTTACTGATTTATATTACAACGATGCCGGAGACCTCCAGAAAGGTCGTGACAGATAGACACAGAGTTCCACGTTCGTGGTGGAGGAAGAGCTTGGTTCAACAATTTACTTCCCGTCGTCACAATCCGCCAACGTCGAATGTACCCGTGCACCGGGTGCAAGAACAATCACGCACCACCAAAAAACCTGGATTCAATCCATTACAATCTTTGAAAATCTTCCGAGACAAAGCAGCATCCATCGTTATATTACACATCGGATTGGCCTATGCCTTACAGATCGCCATCATGACGAACATGGCCAACACCTTTGGTCAACTCTATCATCTCAATACGTTCAAGCTTGGCCTATGTTTCCTGTACGCTACGATACTACCCCTGCTGCTGGGTGGCTATGACTTGTTGCACAAACGCCCACTTTTAATGTTTCTACGCTAACTTTTTGGGACACCACTCCACGGTGTGAACTTTTAGACCCATCGGAGTTGCTGGATGTACAAGCTCTATGCTGACTGGAATATTCACAGATCTGAATTACCGACGCATTGCACGCAGAATGGAGGGCACAACTGCTACTACTACTACTACCGCTCCGTTGTTTTCTGAGACCAGCGACTTTCCGGTGGAGAAGGTCCGTCTGCAAGTTGCTTTGCCACTACTTGGTGTCGTAATCCTAGGCGTAATCCCATATGGCTGGGTTTTGAGCCAGGGTGTGCCTCTGTATGTACCGTTGATCTTGCAGGGCGTGATTGGATTCTGCGGCACTGGGTGTGTAAATATCCTGAGCGCCCTTCTTGTGGACTTCTTTCCGGAGCAACCTTCAACGGCATCGGCAGCTGCGAACCTTGTTCGATGTTGGCTGAGTGCCGTGCTGACTGCAGTATTGCAATTCTTGATTTCTGGAATGGGCAGGGGTTGGTGCTTCACTTTTTTCGGCCTGGTGGAGCTTGCTGCATCCCCATTGCTCTGTGCAACATATTGGCGTGGAATGAAGTGGCGCACGAGAAAGATGAACCATGCAAAACCCGATGAAGAAGAAATTCGGCTCGCCGAAAGAGAGCACTGTGCGACGACAACCGAGTCAAAAAATGGGTCGGAAAGCTAGGAAGGCATACAAGCGAGAGGGCATGAGCGTGGGTGTGTATTCAGGATGTACCATATTAGCATGAAGAGGTAGTCTGGGCAATCACTTTGGTCCGTGTTAAAGCAGCTTCATATGACTAGCTTCCTTGGTTTTCATAATATTTTGGTTGCTCTTGAAGTCTACTGTTCTCCGATACGGTAGCAGTGCACTCTTCCTCGCATTACAAATGGATTTAAATAGGTACTCTCCCAGATGTTATTTTCTACCTCTACAGACAACTCTAGTAGCTCACTAAGCAGCGACTAGATGTTCCTTGAAACTACCGACACTGGGGCAGTCCTGAAAAACGGACGCCCGAAGATTTAAATGCAACCCCAAGGCAAACTTCTCAACCAAAACAAGGGACAGCAGTGAATCCACTCCAATGTTTGCAAATTCGACATCATCCGTGAGCTCCTCCGGGCAGATGGATGTTTCGGAGGCAATAATGCCCATGGCTTGTTTTACAAGCCCGCTGTCGTTACGGGCTACCGGGCTGATTTCAGCATCGTCGGGAGTAGAGGGTGGCGTGTCTCGTTCAATCGAATCAATAGGTCTGCCGGGGGATACTGATATTGGCGATTGTGTTCGTGTGAGGCTGTCAGAGATCGTCGAAGAGACGGATAAATCTTTGTGGGACATCGGACTTTCCTCAGGTGGATCGAAAAACCGGCGCAGCAGAATCCGAGGCAGTGGACGCATCGTCATACCTCGGATTTGGCCAACGATTTGCCCATCTCGAATCACAAAGACGTCGCTTATATAGAAACCTGGTTTTTCTTTTGCCGGTTTCAGACTGGTGTACGATTGGTATCGTGCCCCGGGGACCAAGGGCTGGCTAAATCTCATCGACTTCCAGCCATCCATGACGTAGACAGTATCGTGGTCGTCGAGTGCGTTGCTCCCGTTCAAGATAAATCCTGCCACATGAGAAACACTGTCGATATAGTTGGGAGCTGCCGTCCATCCACCCTCGCCAGGCGGAAGCAATACCTCGGCCACCCCTTCCAGGTGGTGCAGTACCACAGACTGGATTCCCCGGTATTTCTCGGAGTAATCGACAAGCGTCTTGAAGAAGGAATAGACCAGGTTGCCGGACAGGCGACTGGCCTGTCCCTCCTGGGCCAATCGATACAACACCTCAATTCTGCTTATGAGTAAGTCAGTTTGGGTACCCCATTCGTCTGACCAGATCTGGCTGTCTCCACACGTAACTACTCCCGTAGCTAAGATTTCGTGGGAGCCATGGCCGTCCTCCAGGGCGTGCTCAAAGGACATTCGGACCGAACGATGCTTCAGATCCGCATCAGCCCGCACACGTAACCACTGGGGGTTCGCTTGGCTTTTTCTGGCGACTAAGCCCTGAAAGATCTGTACGTTGCCAAAGTCCATTGACGGAAGTTCGACCTGAGGTTGGTGCTTGGTATATATGTAATTGGCCAGGGATAACGCCATATCAGGGTATGCGAACTAGTAGGCCTGTCAGCAAAGAACCTTGAGTGATGAAGAGCGGATTGAACCATACCACGGACATTACTGGTCGTCCACACATTTTGTGTCCAGAGATAATCTTCAAGAGTTGGTCTTCCATAATGTTAGACTGCATTAGAACGGTGTGGCCATTCTCCGATGATGACTCTTCGAGAATTTGGTGCAAGAGAGGGGTCTGGAAAGCTGGAGTTACTGGAGCCAGGGCACCACCATCTTGTGTCCTGAGTCCTTTGTCTTTGAGTAGCAGCCAACTACCATTGTACTGGATCCAGTGCTTTTTCAAATCCCATTGATACGAAGGGAGGGCCAGCAAGCGTAAGTTTGGCTCAAATGGTCGATACCATTCATTCCAGTCGATCTCGACCCCAACTTCGTGCAATGCAGACATGGAAGCTGCAAACGTGCTCCAGTTACTCTGATCTGACCTCATGCTGGGGACCATGCATGTCATATCCCGTACAGTTGCTCGCACAGCATTGCTGTAGGTTTGGTGGACACCAATTTCAATGAAGGCAGTATTGGAATGTATAATCCCCATCTCCTGGGCCCTTTCCAGTGCGGAAGCAAACCGTACAGGTGCCCGTGTCGCCCGTTCAAGATATGAGTCAGCCAAGATGTCCCTGCTAGTGACATTGTCTGCTAACAAGGGCGAAAGAACCGACGCCTTCGGCGAGTGGAATGTAACCGTTCGGGAAATCTCACCAAAACGGCGGAGGATCGGTTCCACATGAGCGGAGTGGAAGGCAAAGGGGACGTTGAGTTTGGTCGTACTATAGCCATTCGACTCCAAAGACGCCTGGATATCGTCCATGTGTTCGACGGGCCCGGCAATGGTGACATTACGCTGCGCATTAATACAAGCCACCTCGTACTCTTTCCTATGGGGGAAGCACTCGCAAATTTCATCAACGGATGCTCGTACTGTAACCATGCCATGTGTGCCAATGGTACACAGCTCCTGCAAGAGCAGAGCTCGTCTGCCCACCAAAAAGATAGCATCGCTGGCAGACAATACGCTAGCAGCATGCAGTGCAGCGTACTCTCCCAGACTTGCCCCAATGACTACATCAGGCTTCACCCCAAGCATGCGCCATAAGTCAGTCAGCGCAATCTGTACACATGTTGTCAATAACTGTGTCATTAGAGGCACAACCGCGGCGGTGTCTTGCTCTTGGCTTAGAATGAGTGGGATGATCGAAGGGAAGCCGTGGAGAAGACATAACTTATCCAGGCGTTGGATCTTCTCTCGATATGGAGGGTATTCTTCGAATAGTTGTCGGCCAATGCTGGTATAGAACGAGCCTTGCCCGGAGAAGACAAATGCCACCGATGGTCGCTTCGGAATTGGTCTCCGCATTTCCACATCATTGAGACATGTTTGAAGGCGACGGATGAGTTCCTGAGTAGATCCCCCATTGACGACGACGCGGTATCTATAGTGCATCCGCCTTGCCGTAGTGGTGTATGACAGACTAGGAAGGTCTGATGATGGGTTCTGCTGGAGGTATGTAATCAAGCTCCGGATGTTGTTCTTGAGAGACACTTTGCTCTTCGCCGAAACGGCAACGGGAAGTGTTGGATGGGGGCATGCTTGCGGCGTACTCCTCACAGGGGGTTCCTGGAGAAGCAAACATGTGCTCCCCCCCGCCGCGCTGAAGTTGTTGACCAGTGCGAATCGCCTTCGATTGTTATCGTGGGCCCAAGAAACAGTTTCCATGGGTATCTTTACATTCAATGTCCCAAGATCGCGGAATTGTTTGTTGATCGCTGTTTTAATACCAACATGCTTCGGAATCGCGCCCTTCTGGAACATCAGCAGCGCTTTGACTAGCGCTGTAATACCTGCAGCTGCCTCTCCATGGCCCACATTTGCCTTGACAGAGCTAACATACAATGGGTGCAAGCGTCTCTTTAAGCCTGGGCAGAAAACATTCGTGACAGATTCCATCTCGGTAGTGTCGCCTGCCTGAGTTCCCGTGCCATGCATCTCAATCACATCCACATCTAGTGCATTGACGTTTGCCTCTTTCAAGATTTGGGAGAAGAGATGCTCTTGTGTAGGCGCATGGGGGTGGGTTATGGAGCTTGCATTCCCCGCATGGTTTGTGGCAGAGGCTCGGATGATACCGAGTATATTATCATTATCGTTCTGAGCGTCTGCTAAACGCTTCATCACGATTGACACGATACCATCTGCTCTGCAATAGCCATCCGCTCCATCATCGAAAACTTTGCAGCTTCCAGTTTTGGAGAGAAAATAACCACGACTGAGGCCAGCAAAGCTGTCGGAGCCTGTTAGTAAATTCAATCCACCAGCGACCACAGTGTCCGTCTCCTCACGTATCAGGGCTGAACAAGCAATTTGGATTGCAGCCAAACTGGCCGAGCACGCTGTGTCGATACTGTAGCTCGGACCGGAGAACTTAAAGAAGTAGCTGATACGACCGGGAGCAAAGGCACGGTAGTTACCTGGAATAAAATAGGTGTCGATGTCCTGCCCGGCATTGGCCTCTCGGTAATCATCTGAACAATGACCATAATATGTACCCACTCGAGTGGCCATCGTAGAAGGTGTTCGGTTAGGAACGAATCCAGACTGCTCCAGCGCTTCATACGCAGTCAGAAGTGCCAAACGATGGGCTGGGTCCGTTTGGCCGGCTTCCCGGGGAGACATTCCGAAGAATCCATTATCAAAGAGCCCGGGGTCGTCTATAAAGCACCCAAATGGGGTGTGGCTAGTATTCTGGCGCTTTCCGGTGGTGTCCGTATGTGTTTCTACATCGTAGCGATCGGCTGGGATCTTCTTGTGCACGTCACGCCCATCCACCAAAAGTTCCCAGAATTGGGTCAAGTCATTGGCACCGCCAGGCAGTCGGCAGGACATACCGACCACTGCGATGTCAGTGCTGGAGGGGTTGGTAGGTTTGTTCTCGTCCATGAACACCCATTGCATGTGCTCTCGGGTATCGACAGTACAGTGTGGATAGGTAGCCTGGGCACGGGATATCAGGGTGTTCACAACTGGACAAGGCTGGAAAATTGACTCCAGATGGACGTGAGCTTCCTCGTTCCAATCCGAAGACGAAAAAATAGCTTCAGCAACATTTCCCCACTGGATGGTGCCTGTCAGGAGGCAATATATGGCAGACTCAAATAGCTCAAGTACAGTCTGAGAGCCTAGTGGCTTCCCATCAACCATGGAGAGCAAGCACACGTTGCTAGGAACTCTCCGATTGGCAATTTGGGGGCTGACTGTTTCAGCTATACGGGCACTATCAGCACGATCGTAGAGATGAGCTGCATGGCAAGGACCTCCATACACTGGCAATGCAGCGTGGCGTGCCGATGCCAATTTCCCCGTCTTTCCAAATATCTTTGCTAGTATGGACGGTGGCCCATTCACAAAAAGACTGCCATCGGGTTCGACAACACTGATGTAGAGCTTGCCCGTGATTGAAACATCCTAGATCATTGTCAGGCTTTGCTGTCCAAATATTTGCTGCCTGCTTACAATGGATGCGTTGAAATGGTCGAGTGTCTCTTGTACTGTTGCTTGATCCATGTTCTTCAGAATCACTGACCAGCTTTTTGGCGGAGCGTCTGGTTCCTGCGGCTCAATTTCCTGCTGCTTCTGGTACAGCAGATAGCCTGTTCTCATAGCGATTCGAACAGCTTCGGCTGATGTTTGAGGAACATCTAATAGTGTTTGAGATGCAACAATCCCTGTAGCAGCCAACAGACCTAAGCCTAAACCAGTGAAGGTTGAATTGCTAAAGTTGAACTCCTGCGGGTTGCGCTCATAGCTCCTGAATTGAATAACATCTCGTTCAGATACTCATATCCACAATGATCAGAATTGAGGTAGGAACTTACCCAAGGAAGAGGGAAATGTGGAATAGACAGGTAAAGGCGCATTCGAAGACTCCGGTTAACGGTCCTCCGTGCCAGTCGAATGAATCAACGAGATCCAAGATCGAATGAAATGGAGGAATGAGAGTTTTCAGTTCTGGTGGAAGTCGCCGGATTTCTTCGTTGGCGACCATGGTCGCCTCTTCTAGAAAACGTCTCAGGAGTCCATGGCTCCGTGATCGAGAGACGAAACGGAGTCTCTGGGAGAGATCCCGTAGGTCAACCCCCGGAAACTTGTTGCTAAAGAAGACTACTCTCATTTTGCCCGTATCTTTCCAGCCAGTCTGGGGCTTCACGGCCACAAGTAAGTATTATACGATATTTATGAAGTTGGGCGTCAACACGGCTATCAACGCCGCTATAAGAACCCTACATGTTGCTCACTTTAACTAAGTTAGCGGTCAGCGTCGTGTGATCCATTACCCTTACAAGACATGAATACACATTGCGATGGGATCTCCTTACATTGCTTTGTATGTGATTAATACGTACCGGCATAGGCGCCATAGCTGGGATTGCAGATAAGGTCCATCGAAGATCAACACGAGGAATCGTGTAATACGTAGATCAGGTCCTGCAGCCACTACGGCATCCCCACGCAAGGGACATTTTGCCTTGTTAAAAGCAGGGGTCACAGGCGTGTAGATTTTCTTGGCTACGGGGGAGTCCTAACGCGTCCTCGGTCGGGATTGAAGCGTGCAAGCAAGGGATAAGACTCCGTCGAGGGTGGCTGACACGCATCGTAGCTAGTAGATATCACAGAGACGCTTATTTCAATCTGGTCTTCAATCAAGCAAATCGAACAGTCTCTATCTCGCATCGCAAGGCACACAATCGGATAGAATGTTTCCTTTGGCCTTAGCAGCCTTTTCGGCCCTTATAGGGCTCATTCTCAGTACCAGTATCCTGAAATGGCGACGACAGCAAATCAAGCTACCACCAGGTCCTCCACGCAAGCCACTGTTTGGTAATTTAGGTGACCTGCCTTCTGACGATGTACGGTTATGGGAGTTTTGGTTGAAGCACAAAGAAACTTACGGTAAGTTCTCCGGCCGGGTTATAATGTCGCATGGAAACATTGTGGTGACGATTTGATACCAGGCCCTATCAGCTCACTGTCGGTCCCGGGGCGGACGATGATCGTTCTTAATGATGTCCACCTTGCTACCGAGTTGTTGGACAAACGATCAGCGATCCATTCGTGTCGCCCGAAATTCCACTTTGCATCCATGTCGGCCTCTCCTGTGCTTGTACCGCTGAACAAGAACTAATGTTTATTACAGGGCTGGCTGGGATCAGATATTGGGAGTAGTCGAGTACTCTGATCGATTCCAGGAACTTCGGAGGGCTCTTCACCAGGGAATTGGTTCGGCGAAATGCGTTGCGCAATACAATTCAGTGCAAGAGGTGGAGGTTCGCCGATTCCTTCTGCGCGTATTGGATGATCCACACAGTTTAAATGACCAGCTACGAAAGTATGTGGCGCAGCAATCAATGGCATCAAAGCTGATCTAATAACATCCAGGATGACCGGGGCTGTGGCCCTTCAGATAGCTTACGGATACACGGTGGAACCGCACGACAGTGACCCTCTCATTGACCTGGCCGAGAGAGCGGTGTACGACTTTGGTCTGGTCGTTACTCCGGGAAACTGGATAGTAGATGTCTTTCCAATGTGTAAGTTCCCGAGTGAACATCTATAATGGATCGCAGTGATTCATTGGCTTTTAGTAAGGTATCTGCCGGCCTGGTTTCCGGGGGCCAAATTCGTCCGGATAGCAGACAGCATCCGGAAGACTGCCACAGCTTTCTGTGATACGCCGTGTACATTTGTCAAACAACGACTAGCCCAGAGTGACTACCGTCCTTCCTTCCTCTCGAACTCGCTCAGGAATCAGGAAGGGTTGTCAGAGGCCGATGAGTCCGTGCTGAAATGGTCCGCCGCAGCGATATATGCTGGAGGAGCAGATACTGTACGCCTGTCCTTGGAGCTCTGTATAGTCATCATGCCTGCAATGCTGACAGCTAATAGACCGTGTCAACCTTGGCTACGTTCTTTCTCGCTATGACTCTCTATCCCGAAGTCCAGGCTAAGGCACGAGCGGAAATTCAATCCGTCTTAGGGTCGGATCGTCTTCCTGGCTTCCAAGATAGAGACAACCTCCCGTACATCAATGCCATAGTGAAGGAGACTCTTCGCTGGCATGCCACTGTCCCCGTTATCACACACAAATCTATCGCCCCCGATGTGTGCGAAGGATATGACATCCCGGAGGGATCTTGGGTCATGGCTAACGTCTGGTTCGTGTTACGCATGGGAAACTCTACGAGGGATTGCGCATTGTTGACTTATTTCTTCAGGGCTATGAACCACGATCCAAAAACCTACGTTGATCCCTTTTCCTTCAAGCCGGAACGCTTTCTAGGCTGCGAGGGGCGTGCGCCCGAACCTGATCCACACACCTTTGGATTCGGTCGACGAATATGCCCTGGACGCAACCTGGCCAGAGCGAACGTTTACCTGACCGTTGCGCAATCTTTGGCCGCTTTCCAGATCAGTAAGCCGAGGAAGAATGGCACTGAGAGTGACTTCCGCCCAGAGTTCCAAGCAGGGTTTGTCAGCTCGCCCGCCCCGTACGAGATCGACATTCGGGTCCGCAGTCCGGCTTATGAGAACCTCATTCGCACGGTGGAGACCGAATATCCCTGGGAACAAAGTCACTCCAAAGAGATTAAATCGCTTGCTTCCTGAGGCATTCGTGGATATCGTAGTAGTGGCGTCACATGTGGTACTGGAGATCTCTTCCCGTTGTTATGCAGCTTTCCTTGCACGAGGCGAATATAGTACGTACGTAGTTGCGAATGTAGGGGGCATCGATGTGCTCGCTCGCCATCGCGCATGGTCATCCATCCTCTAGAATGTACTGATAAGCCTGGTACTGCAGAAAAAGAATACAAGATCTTTCATTCTCGTGATACCGACGTAATGTAATTCAGCCCACAGACCGCTATTTCTTGGTGAATGTATTGCACGTTCTACTAGCACCAATGAATGCAGCTCCAGGATATCAAGATAGAGGTCATGACTCGTATTGAGGAGGCAAAAGTAAAAGAGCGTAGGAGCTTGTGAGCTAGAGCAACGCAATTTTCTACTTCTGGAATATGCCCCCTCAACCGACAGAAGCGCCGATCATGCCGCAAGGACATAAGATGCTGCTTTTCCCATCAGCCCCTTGCGACTAGCCTAGATACGTGCAAGCAGGCATACCAGCATGCGACGGCTATTGAGTCTGCTCACTCTTGACTGAGTTCCGACTTGATGGATCAACACGGCTTCGTATATGCAAATTGTGGCAGTGTATACAGGGAGAAGTGACGTGGCCCGCAGCTCACGTAGATAAATGGAAATATCCATCTGTAGTGGCTGTCCCTTACGCTTGAGGAAGAAAAGCGTTCCATAAAACTCGGCACTTTTCCATCTTCAACCAGCCAGACAAGCAACTACTACTACTACAATGACTATCTCAAGCAACACGGACAACGAGCCAAGGCAGCTTGACAAGGCCCTGGGCACTCTCAACGATGCTGCGGCAGAGTGTCGTGTTGCGATGACATGCAACACAAGTGACAGTGTTGAATGTCACAGCGCGGTGCACGGTGCGCGCCAGAAATTGATTGTAGAGACGCTCAAGTTCCTCCAGGTCATTCAAGGGCCTGTTGATACTGTGCAGAGCTGGTTTGACAAGGTGAGCTGCTCGCCGTCCCTTTTGTTGTCCAGAATCTGCCCTCCGCTGACCGGTCAGACGGCTCATATCGCAGCAATTCGCTCATTGTTGGAGATGGGTGTGTTTGACAGGCTTCCTACAGGGGGCACGTCACGCACAGCTGAAGAGCTGGCCCAAGATTTGAACGTCGAACAAGATCTTGTTGGTGTGTCTCCATATATTCATCCCCTGATTCTATGTTGAACACCAGATGTCTAACGAAGTTTCGGCTCAGCCCGCCTGATGAGAATTGCCTCGACATATGGTCCTTTCGAGGAAGTCGGGCCCAGCACATACAGACACACTCCGTTTTCTGAAGTTTATTTGCGCCCGGAGATTCGTGGGTTATTCCAGTTTGTGTGAGTAGAAAACACACCCCATTACAGATTCGTCTCCATTCAAAGGTCCTGTTGGTATACTTCTAGCCTGCTGGTCTCTAACTATGCCGACAGAATGGATGAGCATATGCCGACGCACCTCAAGATGCACGACTTTCTCGCGTACAATGGGTGGAAATCGCCGGACTCCGTCTCCAACAACCCTTACACGTACACGCACGACACTGGGGGTAAAGGCATGTTTCAGCACCTCGCGAGCTACCCTAGTCGAATGGAAGCCTTCAATAAAGGGATGACTATGCAAGCCATGACCTCTGGATGGATGCTCGATGTATACCCTTTCAAGAAGGTCATCTCTGATCAAAAGCCAGCAACCAATGATCCTGTCGCTGTTGATATTGGCGGCGGTAAAGGCCGTGCAATTCGCCAGATACGGTCTCTTTGTGATGGCCAGCCTGGGAGATATATACTTGAAGATCAAGAGCATGTTATTCGCAGCATTGTTCCTCCGCCTGATGGAATTGAACTGGTCCCTCACGACTTTTTCACGGAGCAACCAGTTAAAGGTAAGATATCTTCATACTGTCTCTTGTGTGCTGTGGACCTGGGCTCATCGATCTTGCAGGTGCATTGATTTATCTCATCCGCCGGTGTCTTCACAACTGGCCTCCTTCCAAGGTTACTGAAATCCTAAAGAAAACTGTAGCAGCCATGGAGGTAAACAAGTCTCGCCTTCTTATTGAGGAGATCCTAGTCCCTCAGACGAAAGCTGGAATTGAAGAAGGGTGGATGGACGTACTCATGATGTCGCTTGGTGGTAAACAACGAACAATAGAAGAATGGCGCACCGTGCTCGCTGAGGTTGGCCTGCGAGTGGGCAAGGTATACCAGGTTCCAGGAAGCTGCAATGGTATCATTGAGGCATGGAGGGTTTGAATTGATTCGTCGATGTCATGGTCATGGCATCGTGCTAGGAGGTTCAGAAATGTCATTGGCACTATCACCTTGAGATATACTTATAGACGGGGCCTATCCTTGGGTCATGCGACGTCAACCCCAGCCCCAGCAAGTTCCTCTCAGCAAGACAGTAGACTAGAAATAGTTCCTAGTTCTGGGGGTATATCACACTCACCAGTAGAGGGTATGTCAAGGAACTTGTCAGGACAAACTCAAACACGAGCGGCTTTATATGAAAATCGGCCATATACAATTCTCCCCCACTTTCATCTGAGATACCCATGCCTTGGGGTCCGATGTGGGTGCTGCTTATTAGACCACATATAATACACTACCACAAGACAAGACAAGGCTCTGTGAAGTCATTCCTCTCCTATAACTCCAACCTCGCCATGATCCCATAAGCGCCGGTGACAACCTCTGACACTTACACTACCTTTCTATCCTTTAAATCGACAATCAGATCATACAAATATGCCCTCCCCGAACCAGCTATTGACCGTGTGCGATAGGCTCAAGATCCTGATGCTGCGAGCGTGAGCGCCTCTCCTGCCTCGACCAGCAGACCGAAAATGATGAGGATTTGCCTCTTCTTCCCACTTGTGATGGACGTGCTTTCCCATGCCTTCCTTGCACACCGCTGAGAGAGTCCTCAAACTCAAAATGGGTATACCAACTGAAACAAGCGACGTTGCAAGTTCATAAGACCTGGAAGGAAGCTCGCATGCAGTGGAGTCAAACTGACGAGCAAGCTTAAGCTGCTGGCTGACGTGGATACCAGTCTGGGTAAAATCCTGCAGTTGCTTGAAGATGTGAGTCCAACTCTCTCTGCCTATTATTATTCCAGGCTAACTTCTGTGCAGCCGCATCAGCTTCTACTCGTGGACACGGGAAGATCAAGTCCATAGGTTATAACGGCCCGAGACTACTAAGTATAGGCCCCTGCCGGTGAGATATACGATCCTACCAACCTTCATCATTTACCGTCCAGGATATAGTACTGAGAATTTCACCAGAATTTCTAATAATGCGCGATCCAAAGCGTATCCTTTCCCACTCGTCAAACTCCAGCGCGCTCGCGGTGCAGACCCTAACGCCCCATTCGGCCAATGGGTCTTCAACTACTGTCACCTCGGAAATAGCCTGCTACTTAATACACGTCACAGCGCTCGCAGATTTGGCTCCCGTCTTCGAGATCTTCTGGACCAATGTATCTCCCGCCGCCCCCCTTCCCCCCGGCAGACACAAACTCAGGAACTCCTTCAGATACTCTCATCACACTCATTCTTCAGATTGATGTCCAGGACGCGAGTGGATGGACGTGTCTGCACAGAGCGGCCACGTATGGGACTGCCGCGGAGGTTGTGGGAGTTGCTTCGGGTTCGGTGCATCGCCGCTTATCACAACGTCGGACGGGTGGCCGGCTATCTTTTGTTCGGCGCTTTTTGCAGAATCCGGAGCTGAAGCGGAGTTGTGGGAATCGAACAGTTCGGGCTTATGTGCCTGCTCTGGAGGATGCAGGTTATGATGTCCGTGTGGATGGCAAAGAGGGGGAGGGATAGAGATGTCGATGTTCTTTATAGTTACTGTATCTACTTCTCTGGACGCCTCATTCCCAAGTCGGGGTGATGTAGATCCCGTCAACAGATCCAGGATATATGACAACGAACGTTGTTTATTATGGACGTCGCCAGAGAATGCTACTCTTGCATTCCTCATGATACTTTATGCGGTTGTCTAACCATTCATGAGGATCCATAGAGTTTCTCTCCGAGTCCGCAGCGAGATTCTCTTGCTTTCTGACACGACAATCCCGCAGATATAAAGATTCTACAAGTTGTCAGCCTACCTTCTTGCTTCAAAATAATGAGAGAGGTAAATTTACTATCTGGCGTGCTCTGATTTGAACAGTATCCCCATCACAGAACATGTCCTGTCGTAGTTCACCTTGGCCTAATGTAAATGGCTGCCATTGTAGACATTTGGGGCTCGGTGCAAGCTATTCAAAATGACAGTATCATAGATATTGCTCTGAGATACAGTTAGTGAGATCTGGAGTTGGCTGATAAGTCCTGGAGTGGTTTTTGTTCGAACTTCATATGGGTTCTAGGCAAGCCTGTAATTTGCTGAAGGAGCCAGACCATAAGCCTGCATAACCGGCAGAAATTTCCATTGACTAAGATCTATTTGTATGTTAAATGGGTTGGCTAAACTGTTCTTGAGATCATTGAAAAAGTGATTGTCTTGCGAGAACGGCAGAGATCACTTATATCTGATATATTAGAACAGGAATCACGATTCTGGCAGTTATACTATGACGGATTACGCTGAATATGAGTGAAGACTACCGACAGCGTACAGTAGCCATGTTATATGGATAAGACCTAAGTTCGAGAGTGATGCTGAAAGATGGGGTCTGCTCTGCCAGCAAACGACCCGCTGCTGGCTACCCTCAAGCGCTCATGATCACTACAAAAGGTGGCCCCAGGCCACACACCGTTAGCCCGTGAGTAGACACTTTTTTTTTTTACTGAAAGGGCAAAGTAAGTGCAAGCAAGTGAATGCATGGTATAGGCGGGCCAGTGCTTAGGTTTTGTAGCACTGCCTAGTATTCGAGCGGTGGGCAATGTGATGAAATTGGTGCCGCAGCAGCAAGCTATCATTGGTGTTATGACTGCCAGGGTAAGCTACAGCTCATTGGCCGCTTAAGCCCCTCCCTCTTGTGACAGCCGGTCACATGACCATGATCGATGGTGAATGTGAGCTTATAAGTGATGCGCGTTCTGAGTCTGTTGAGTCAGAAGAGTATGCCTTTAAAATACTAGACTGCAGATATATGAGGTCTGGATGGGTTAATAATCAGGCCTGGGAGTGTACGTGGACAAATTGACACACGGGAATAGCAGAAGCCGTGGTGAAATGGACAGCCAAAAACTGTGTTAACTGCGGTCGACGTTACATTAATAAAGTCACGTGCTTATGTTGAATCCAAGATAATTTTACCTGATATCTAGCTTGGGATGCAAAGACCTGATTAGGAAAGATAGGAAGTACAGATAAGCAGTATGGGGGTACGATTAGTAAATCCCAAAAAGAACAACAAAAAGGGCTTTGTTGGGAGTTAAAAAATCGAATGTGCTTCATATTTATGCACTCCATAAAATCTGCAGTCTCAAGGGTAGGTGCATGATGATAGTAAGACTATCAGTGCAGAATACTTACTACTACCGGGGTTACTCCGTGGAATCGGCAAGGGTTCCCTTCTGGTTCCTGGGCTCTATATTCAGGACTAGATTGATAGATCAGTATATTGACGATGGCTTTGGAAAATAAAAGACTTCTGGGAATTTACGATGAGATCATCAATATGTACGAAAGGACCACTTGATCTAGAATGATGATCCAGAAAACCTGATTGTGAATAAGAAAGAAAGATCAATAAATAAAAGTCATCAGGATGGATGCTGGCTGCAAGGTATGAGCCCTCACGTGATGAGTTGTGAAAAGTTTGGGTGAGAAAGAAGTAGGTTTGGGATGGGATTCATTTTCAGGTATGGGGGGAAACCGGGCTGGCAAGGTTGGGAATCATAATAATAGTAATCATTATAATCAGGAGGTGTGCACTTTACTACTGCAGTACGACCCTCGGGATGCAGCTTCACTAATGTGCACAGACATCCGTGAAGGGATTTTCTGTTTCCCTCCCCCTCCCATTTTTCCTCTCCTTCGTGGTGGTGCCTGGATGGAAGAGAGACAGAGGAGGGAGGGAGGGCCCAGGCTTGCATGCATTGTTGGGCCGGATAGTTTTGGGAAAACCGGGGTGGGAAAGAAGGGGAAGGGAAGGGTAAGGCAACGTTGAACGGGTCAGTAGACTAGTAAGCGTGGCCGTCCTTTTGGGGTTAGTTTAGTAGGAGGGGGATAAGGGTGTTAAAAGAGTGGAGGGGACTTTTGGCGGCGATATATACGTTGGAACTTGGAAAATGGCTCGTGAGGAGCAAGAAGCAGCTGATGTGGACATGATTGTCCTCGCTTAGACAGGATTGATCGGCCTGATGATGATGATGATGACGAGAAGAAGAAAGGGGGTGTGGTGGTGGTGATGAAGTAGTAGTGGTGCTGGTACTGGAGTTGGTTTGGTGAAATGAAAAGGGCAAAACGGCCAGTTGATGATGATGCGTTGGTTTGGAGTATGGATGGACACGTAGGAAAACGGGTAAACTGGATCTGGATGTAACTCCTCTTGTATGACCTTTGCTCTGATTTTCTCTATTATTGTTTTTTTATCTTTTCTTTTTTTAATTTCTTCTTCTTTTTTTCTCTTTGCCTTCTCCTATTTTTCTAACTCGTTAAATTAATTATTAAAGTATGGAGGCATTTGTTTTTTCTTTTCTTTTCATATTCCTTTTTTTTTTCTTCCTATTACCAAGTCCCCTGGTCCTGTGGAATGTTAAACTTTGCCAGTGACCAGCGAACTTGCCATCTGCTGCTATGTGACTTTAGTAACCAACTACTACTCCTACTACTGCTACTACGGACAACTAACTAATACTACCACTTACTAACTTCGGAGCCTGAATAAGAAGAAAGAGAAGAAGAACTAACTTTTGCCGGGTACCGAACGGGAACCTCGTGCGCATCCGGCCAACGCAGCAAAACAGGACGAACCGAACTCGATAGCCGTCACCCGAAGGCGTAAATCTGAAGAAAAAAAATTTAAAAGGGAACCAGAAACTGAAGAGTAAGGAAACCGAACAGAAAGATGTATGGATGGATGGATGGCTGTGAAAACTGAAAGGAGAGGACAGTAAGTACTGTTAGTAGTTAGTTAGTGAGCAGCGAAACCCAAAGAATCCTGGAAAGTTCTGGGTCCACCAGGCCGATTTGCCTCCACCGGGCGTCGTCGTCGTCGTTGCCCGTCGGAGGAATAGTCCCAAGCGTCCGCAGGGCCTTTTTTGGCTTGTCTTGTTCGCTGGGGCTAGAATAATGCCCATCCGGCGCCTCTCTCTACCCTCTCTCGCTCTCCCTTCTGTAACGCGGTGCGGGTTGCTGCAATGCGCTGATCCAAGCATTGCAGCAGCGCCGTTCTTTGACTCAGCAAGTCATCCATGACTCCCTCCCCCCCATAATTCCCTCTCCCCCCATCGGCCTCCATTCCGTATAAATTGACTTTGCGCTGCGCTTTTGCCGCTGCCACCTATTTATTCGTCTTTCTTCCGCCATCCTTTGTTCTCTTTCTCTCCTCCCTTTCTATCTTGTGCTTCATCCATCGAGCCCTGACTTCTTCTTTGCTCTACTCTACTTTCAGTCGTCCTATCCCTATCCGCTATCCAACTCAAGCTAAGCTACCTTAACTCCGATCTTCGGTCTCCCTTCCACTATACATAGACCGCCATCCTTATCTGCCTGCCTCCTTATCACGCCTCCTCACTCACCTCCTCTTTCTCCTCACCGGACCACTGCTCTCCACGTCACCCTCAACCTCCGACACTCTTCCTGTGCTCTTCATCAGTCCACTCTTTTCGGACTGCATAACATACACTACTACTCTTAACCAGTTGAGCATCTTTCACTGTCACTACCAGTCCTTCTCTGGGAACAACAACAAGCACCTCATTTCCAGTTCTCCTATCGTCATTGCTGCCCCGGTGGCTACTACTAGCTACTCTTGACACCGCCTCCCTCAACTCGCTCTCTCGCCACCACTTTCATCATGGCGCCCCGCAAGCCTCGCTGCAACTTCAAGGAGTGCAAGGAAGCCGCTCAACGCATCGTCGGAGACTGCAGCTTCTGCAGTGGTCACTACTGCTCTAAGCATCGCATGCTGGAGGCTCACGCCTGCACTGGTCTCGAGGACTGCAAGAAGGAGTCCCACGCCCGCAATGCCGATAAGCTGAACAGTGAGCGGACTCACGTCATTAAGGGCGTATGAGATCCTTCTCTCCCTGGAGATCTCACAATAATTCCATCTCCCTGCTGCGATCTTCTCGTTTCTCCTTTCTTCCTTATGATTCCGCTGCGTCGCAAACTTCATACATATTATTAGCGCGGTGTTCCTACTTCCACACTACACACTTCTTGCCGGCATTAGCAAGTACTGCATGGCCAGTAACGCTTTCCGCGACAGTTCGCCACCTGGGTTGGGTAGGGAGTTTTGATGTTGATACTGTTCTGTTTGGCGTTCACCACAGCTCTGGAGTTTCGACGGCTATATTTTATATTTCTTTTTTTTTGAGTTTCTATTTGCTGCACATTTCCTTCATCACTTATTTTTTTTGCAGTGATCGTGTTCATCTTCCATGAACTTCCCGCGGGCGGTTATTGGCAACGAACCGATACTAGACAACATCTCTACCTTCCAGTTCGTGTTGGATAGAATTGACGGGCTTTTTACCCCGTTTGTGAATGGTTTTGCTATTTCCACTGGTGTGTCACATAGCCAAGCGGTCATAGGTATATATGCATATTTGTCCACACCTTCCACCATCAATTGAGCCTATAGATTCAAACCCACCTCCCAGAATAGCTTAGTACCATCCATCCTCAGCGCGGTGGCCGGAGATTAGTCGTGTGCCAGCTACCCACGTAGCTGTAAGCTCAGGTAGCTAGCTATCCCGCTGTTCTGACCACTGAGCGTGCAGAACGTAGCAAGCGTCATATGATAGTAGCCCGAACAAACCTCTCCAACCAACTAGCCCCGAAGCTCATAGGTTGAAACCGACCTGACACCTAGAATCCCTGCAACAACTGAGAACAGAGAAGACCTCGACCCCCCCCCCCCCCCCCCAGAACCAAAAGCAAAAGCACCCACCCATTACTACGACTAGTACATGACGAGCCTGAAACAAAGTGATACGATAGCCATCGAGCCCGTACCACAGAGGAAAAGGGCACTTTTTTCTTTTAGCCCGGTCCAATTTTTGGCCTACCACACACACACACAGTTAGCCAAAAAACATAAAACCTAACCACCTAGGAAAGGGGTTGAGTGGGAAAGGAAAGAAAAATAAAACATACATATCATGATGTTCACTTAGTCTGCTCAAATACTTGTTTAATTCTTCGACGCGCTCTTTGTGAGTTTTGACCCCTTCTCGTTTCAGGCGCTCTTGCAGCTGTATATGGTTGTTAGCCTATCTTGTCTGTTTTGTGACATAGACATTTATCGCTTCGATAGCTCCTTATAATGAGAGGGTTTCGAAGAAAAATAAAGCAGCATGTACATCAACCTCATACATAAGAAACAACATCAACCAAATCAAGGGAAAACAAAATCAAAAACCCAAAGCATAACAAAAAGAAACATATAGGCAATACATACCCTCTTCCGCCTCATCTCCTCATACTTCCTCTCCGCTTCAGTCTTCCCAGCTCCCGCAGAGCCAGATGCTGAGGAAGGTTCATGTTCATCAGTGCGAGGTTCCTCTTCAGCGCCACTTGCCGTCGCTGATGTTGTCGTTGTAAGTTGCTGCTCCTGCTGATTCTTCTGCTGCTCATTCTCCTCTCCACTGCCTGGAACGGACGATTTCTTGCTGCTGCTGCTGCTGCTCTTCTTCTTTTTCTTCTCTATTCGACCGTTGCTGGTCTTGGAGCCTTTCAGTTTTAATTTGCCGCCTCCACCGGGGGTGGAGTATTCGCTTGGTACCATCTCCCCTCTTCTTTCTTGTTATAGTTGCTTATTGTTATTATTGTTCTATGCTGGGGGATAGATGGTGGTGCATGGTTAGGTTGATGGGGAGGTAGTATGGATGATGATGGTGATGATGGGTGGATACTACTGGATGGTGATTCCGGTTGCCGCTTTAAGCGGGTCGGTCAGGTGACTTGTGTGGTGTGTATTGGGGGTTGGGCGGTGGGACTACTTACTAGCCTTGAAGTATTGTCATGAATAATACAAAAGAGAAGATATCTAAAGGAGAAGAAGTTTGAATTTGTTATGTCTCTTTATGGTTCAACGGGGATGGCTGGTTCATGGCCATGCTGGTGGGCTCTACATATGTGATACTCTTGTCTGGCACCATGCTTGGAAAGTTATTGGAAATTGTTAACACAGGGTGATAGCAGGATTTCGCATGTTCTGTTTGCTTTATTAATTTGATATCTAGTATGTTTCCTTGATGCCCTGCGATTCTCATGTCGAGTCCAGCATCTATAATCCATTTATCCCATCCCGAAACTCCATCGTAACATATGCACATCAATCGAAGGGAATCGGGCGCAGCCCGGATCCGCCTCCTCGCTTTCGCATTTCAGCACCTGCTGCAATTGTGCTGGGTACCTTGATTCCACAGCAATCCCCAAAGTAATCTGTGTGGTCGGCATGGTTGTGGTCGTGGCCATGCTCGTGGTCGTGCTCATCGTCTTCCATATCATCCGTGATCTCCCTCATCCCGGGAGCTGCCGGCAACAAGCTACCGAACAGAAAGTGCTGCATGATGGGAAGCTTGCCCAAAACCTCCTTGGCGAACATCTTCTTCATGCCGCTCTCGATTTTGCTCCAATTCTTGGCTCCTGATATGTCATCCAACATTGGGCTGTGCCACCGTAATCCCTTTACAGTTTTCACGCTATCCACCCATCGGACCTGATCCAGATAGATGTATTTGCCACTTTCCTCCTCGAGAACTGCCATGTTGTGAATTGCCAACGGCGTGATGTAGGGATGTGCAACGAGCTGGGAGGCACCGAAGAGGAACGGCAGGAAATGATAATCATCGAGACCCCACACTCCATGTGATCCAGCAGGTTCCAGGTAGTAAGTGGTTTGTATATCACGCATGAGGTTCATGTAGCTCACGTATACATGGAAGACGATCGCAGGGAAGTCCGTGGCGGAGAATAAGTGCACCTGACGTAGACACAGCAACCACATCATGAAGTTCAGTTCGTGACCTGAACCGTAGTCTAGTCGGTCGCGCGACCCGAGCGAGTTAATTAGATAGGTCGAAGCTTCTTCTATGAGTGCTTGATCTTGAAACCCGAGTATATCTTTGTGCCACGCCGCACTTTGTGTTGCGACATCGTCAAATAGATCGCGAAAAGCTGGGTTACCGAACCGCGAGCCGCCTTGGTCGAGTGACGGGTGTGTCTCGAGAAGGGATCGGATTTGGAATACTATAGACTGAATCTTGGTGATGATGGGGGAAGGGCTGCCGATCTCCGTGGTTGCCCGCCCCCGCACTGAATCGGAGAGACCGAAGATGAAGGCGAGGATCAAGGTATGGGTTGAGGAGGAGAGGAATAGGTCATGGTCTTGCTTCGATAATATCCGACGCACTGGGCGCGCATACTGATGGGAGGAGAGATCCGGAGCACTGGGGAGAGGCGGGGTGACTGGAGCAGGTTCGCGGGAGGAGGGCGTCTGAGACTTGGCTTTACTCGCACGAAGTTCCGAAAGTTTCTTGGAAAGGTCAATCTTCGGTTTCGGTGCCGGACTAGACACGGAAACTTGTGAGGCCATTTTGAGCGATATAATAAGGAGGTCGATGCGATCCTGTCTTCCTAGTGACCTTGCCGCACGACAACTGGCAGAAGATTGTTGCTATCGTTGGACGAGAATGTGATAAGCAGCCGCGGTCATCTGACACCGCCCGCGATGACATAAGATGGATTTGGGCTGGTTGGCAGAAACTGACCGCCTAACAGTAGAGCAGCCATTGCCCCTTTCCCAAGAAGGTATAGCTATATTGCCACAAGATTGAGGCATACACAAGTGTATTCTGGGTACTACTATTGTCATGGGGTGGCGACGAAACCCAATGGGGTGAACAATGGCGCTGGAAAGGATATCCGAGTTCAGAACTGAGTTGAGCCACATCGGATTCATCGGATTCGACTCGGCCTTTGCCGTCATCCGAATCCGTCCGCCGAGCAGCCCACCAAATCTCATTCAGGAGCCTCGGACGGAGGCTTACCTCCGCGCCGTGGATCATGATGGCAGATGCGGTGCAACGCCCCCGAACCAACTGACATCACATTTTGAACACAAAGTTTTCGACTCCACGAACGAGGAAGCAAAGTGGACCGATCGATTTTCAATGTGGCTAAGTCCAGGGCTTCGGTTCGGATTTTCTGGAACATGAGAGCGATATCCGCTGTGAACCATGGATCGGCGCGGCTGAGTTGAGGCACTATTGACTTGAAGGCAAGTACGAGCGAAAGCGTTCAGCCTGGGGAAGGTTTCCGGAAGACAGATCTGATCGGGTGGAGGGCTGAAAGAGGGACAGTCTCGGAGGGTAAACTTGAAAACCATAAGTAGGTAGGCATCGACCCTTGCATTGGATATGACTAGTATTGGGAAAGGGTCTTTATCCCTTATTATTGTATCGTAAGCCAGAAGAAGGACACGGCTGTAAGATAGGTTACAGTAAGCAGGATACTGCTTTGAATGTTTGTTGTTTCACTTGGGATTCAGTCGGTCGCTGCCTTAATACCAACCTGGCCCAAGATCGGCCTACTCGCTCCAGGATTATTGATTCTCAGAGGGATTTAGGACGTCTGCTGGAAACCAGAGCGATAAGAAGTGAGGAATGCATCTTGACTTACAGTACTCCGTGCTCCGTGTTGTCGCCTGCGCAGATAAGCCCAAGACATGGGACACGGTTGGTTAGACGCACAACATTTCACACCATGATTAGACTCGACTAGCCCAAGGTGCCTGGTCCCTGTTCGGTGACGGTCTATCGGGTCTGAAGGGAAAATCTGTGCCAGTCAGACAGCCATGCTTGGTTTCCGGCTAGGCCGCATGTACGTCGACGATTCGGGCATATCAATCTTTGCCCTTCAGCCAATAGATAGAAGTCTCTGGCTGCACAACATCGATGAGAGATAGTAGATACAAAGTAGTAACCTTGGGCAACGCCACAGACAGCTCGCATGATGTATTGATGATAGAACTTCTTGTCCATCGTACCGATGAGTCTCGATTGATGAGAAAGTAAGTATAAGCCTCCCATGACTCAGTTGTCGTCAGATCCTCATTCTATTGGCGCTCCGACCAGTTCAGGATCACCGGTCTCTTCCCAGGAGAAGGAATAAATCAGACCGCTGAGAAGGCTACTAGCTATCGAATTATCTAGACCGGGACATGGCGAAGCTGAAACATCCATATTATCGTAGTCGGCGCGGGAAGATGATGGGAGCTGAATTGCGTCTAGGGTATAAGCAATTGGACGGGTCACTCGGCGCTTCTACAATACCTCTTCCGTGGTGACTTTATCCGGGATTCTCAGCGGCGTATCCCGTAGTATGCAATGGGCCGTTCCTGAAATAGAAGGCCACAACCAAGATCGGCCGACGTGGCTGAAGTGCATTGAAACTGGAACTGGAACACATGGGCGATATCTAGTCCTCACTAACAGTTTCTTGGCAGCCAATGATAGGCGTGACATGTGCCGCCAGACTCAGGTGGCTAGTAGAGATCCTGACAAAAGTATTGGTCTATCACTTATCAGGGGAGGGGGGAGAGGGGAGTACTAAGAGGGGAGGAAAGTGATGTGCCTCACTCTGAGAGGGAAGAATTGGCGCCCGTCTTCCATCTAGTAGTTATGAACTTACGTAGGTGCTCCATGCCTCGTATCGTATCCAAAACCTTTTACAGTAAGCCACCATCATCCCTTATTCTGTCCGTATATTTATTTGTGTGGATGATGTTGGTCAGGATGCTTAACAGGTTCGCAACAACCGAGGATGATGATGCGATCATGGGATGAAGTCGCAGATGATGGAGAGTGATCACCAGGGGGACGGGAGCACAACAACACCAAGTTTGGGGGAAAGGAGATCTATTCTTGGTTGTCTCTGATTTCCATGCGGGATGTTTCAACTTGCATGGCTTTTCCCCTCCTGGATGTCGGGACGTGTCAACCATTGCAGGGATCGCTGGCTGGCTGGCGAAGTTGATTACTTTAGTAAGTAGTTTGTTTGGTATCGATGTACTGTAAGAGAAGGGTGCGAGCGAGTGGGTAGGAGGAAGGATGTCAGTAAGAGTAAGAGTAAGTAAGAGTAAGAGTACGAGGTGAAAGTCACTAAGCCTGTAACGAGTTTAGTACTAGATACGGCGAGTAGACACAAACTCCGTATTTAGTCTTGCTTTTTCGGCGCGACGGGGCAAGGAGTCAACTGGCGCTAATTAAACTAGCTTGAATGCAGTTAGCCCAAAGCGTCTAGTGGGTGGCGGTCGGTCTTTTCCCCACCGAGACAAGCGAGATTTCGATGCCCCTGTTCGTGTTGCGGATTGGCCGCCCGTTCAGGTACCGCCAATTTAGTCTACTGGTGCCTGGGGGGTTTTCTCCGGAACTTGACCCAATAATGGTGGTCCCCCATCACATATTGGAGTCATGCTGGTGACAAGTTAATATAGCCCGGAGACACTACCAAGCCATTCACGGGCCATCAATTCAGCATGGATATGGATCGCTAATATCAGCTTGATTATTATGCTCCATAATGGCCAAATTGCCGCCATGCAAGAACCCTGATTGCAACGGACGGCATGAACAGGTGGCAGTGGGAAAGTGGAGACCTCTGGCTCTGGCACTGGCTCTCGCTCTTCTTTCTCCTCCTCCATGTCTGGCTTATGTCTCAAGCTCAACCAGGGATGCGCACCGTATTCGCACTTGGTAGCAATCAGTTACTATGACGTCTTCTATATGAAGAACTGCAAGACGAACATTTGGGTTGTAGATGGAAAAGTGAGAGAACTTGACTGCATCAGATCTGCCACCCGCAATGTTCTTCTGGAGGAAAGCCTATTGTATTGGTTTTTGCTAGACTGTCCGGTTTCTGTACCGGTGCCGAGAAAAAAAAAAGATATTAAAAATAAAAAATAAGGAAGCCTGCAGATTCGGAGTATTGCGACTTCATCGACAGGGTACTACGTACGTAGGCGCAGTAGTAGCAAGTTAGTAGGCACGCATTCATCCGAGAACTCCGCAGGCCTGACTAACTGAAAGTATGCAATTTCCCCATGAAGACGCTGGCCAGACTAGTCTAGTCTAGTATTGATGGATTTTAATGCTACGATGGAGCCCTTCACTATCACCTTTAATTAGTAGTGTGGCCTCGAAAGCGGGCTAGTGCGAGACAAGTGAGAAAGCGAAAGAGGGAGAGAGAGGGCGAGCGAGTGAGAGGTCTGCCTAGTAATTACTGACTGACTGGCCTTTCTCCGTACTTTACCGGTGCGCATCGTTCGGTGGTCACGCCTCCGCATGCTGACTGGAGCGCTGGGCGATCGGATGGCCCTGGTAATACGCGGTACGGATCATTTGGTACTAAACCAGGTTGAACGGTACGGGCGCGGCCCCTCCGGCCACCCAGCCAATCATCCCCTGCCGCCCTCCATACGTCGCCGTCTCCTCTCCTCCTCCTCCACCACCAAGCCTTTTGCTGCACCTCAGCCTTTCCTCTCCTTCCTTCAACTTCATTTTCCTTTTTCCAGGTTGATCCTCTCTCTCTCTCTCTTTCCTCTCTTCCTCCCCTCCTCCATCTCTCCTCCCTCTTCCTCCTTCTCCTCTTCTTCTTTCCTCCCCCTCTCTCTTCACTATACCTTCTTATTCACATTAACCTTTCACTCTCTTAACTTCACTTCGCCCTCCTCTCCCGACTCTTCCGCCCATCCTCTCCTCCTTGGCCCGTTCCCGTGGCCGTCCGCTCCTTACAACACCAGTCTCCTTCGTCAACAACAAGTACGACACACCTTCAACTCCCTCGATTTCGATACATTCATTCGCTTCGCCGTGTTTCTAAAGCGTTGCTCGACCACTGAATCAGTTACAAAAGCGATTGTGGAGGCTTGTTGTGTCTTTGGGTTTCAAACCGTTTTTGCGACCTTATACTCCGACTTGTATTCTTTCGGCTCGTATTCATCGGATCCTGGGGTCTCGTCTCTTCCTTGGTGCGACACTTGAGAGTTTGGATTCAAGGGTTCAATGGTACCATTGCAGAACTGAAGGCCTCCAGACAGCACCGGGCTTTCCAATCATTGTAGGGAAGTCACCAAGGTCTGGAGGTCCCCGTGTGTCGTCAAGGTCACATCAACTGTGTCCATTACTTGTCACGGCGTGATTCAAGTCATCTTATTGTATCAAGGTTCAATCGGTATTATCCAGACCTCTTGATCAACCCGGCGTATCGTTATGGCTTCGATATCCCTACCTCCACAGCCTCAAGCTAGTCCGGCATTTTCTCCATATATTCCCCCGGCTGATCTGTCTCCTGACGGTCACAGCCGCCGCAACCTGAGAATGTCTGCTCCGCTCCCAAACCCCCACTTTGTCTTTCCAGCCCGGGATCCTAGCGATGAGACACCCCAGTCTTCGGAGACCGGTGCGAGGGCTGCTGTGCCGCTCCCAGCGTTTTCGTTCAACCCGGGCGCTCAACATTCATCACAACCATCGATGCCCTCTCTCTCACCGAATAGACCAGGTGGACACCGCAGACGCTGCAGTGAGTTCGTTGGTGGTGAACATCCGATCATTCCGCCTGCGTCCGTCGAGGCCACTCAAAGCAAGGATGACAATTTAGCG